GTCGACAAGTCCATGTTCAACCAAACGGACAAAGTCGGTTCATCCGTTTCCCTTTAGAGTCCTAGTGTCTCGCTAAGACTGGCATGCCGCAACATGCGCACTTTGCTACAGATTAGCGAACAGGCAGCACTTGCCCGCACACTAGAGACCCTATCGATCAATATTTGCTGTTTATCAGAAACCCGCCTGCAAGCTTCGAGCTCCTTGCTTACCCTGAGATCCCCCACATGCGACACTGGCGGCACATTCTCATTGCGCCTGTCTGGTGATGACGCAGCTTCAAATGCCGGTCAAGCTGGCGTCGGCATTGTTTTGAGTCCCCGGGCTGAAGCTGCCCTGATTGATTGCATCCCAGTAAACAGTAGGATTTGCGCCGTTAGATTAGCTAGTTCGTTCCGTGCTTCGAAGTCGCTCGGGGACAAACAGTGCCTGTTTTTCATTGCGGCCCATGCCTCCTATAAACTGTAGCACTGATTCGGTAAAAGATGATTTCTACCAGCAACTTCACGAGCTCCTTCGTTACAGAAGTAGCACGGATACTGTGGTGTTGGCTGGGGATCTAAACGCGCAAGTTCGGAAAATTGTCCTCTGATGAGCTTCGTCTGGGCGGACAACATATTGTAGGCTTGCGTAATGCTAATGGTGAGCGATGGCTACAGCTATGTGGAAATGCTCGCCTCTTTCTCACGAACACAAACCTTCTACACAGAACCCGCAGAAGTGTGACTTGGCGCCCACTAGCCTCGGACCTGCCATGGACGCAGCTCGATCACAACGCGATCAGTTACCGCTGGAGTGGCTGTGTCCAAAACTTTCGCTAAATGTGGAGCTCGAGCGTGCACTCTAACCACGTACTTATTTGCGCCGACCTGAGGGTGCGTTTCGGTGAACGTCCGCAACGTCGTTGTGAACGGATTGACACCAGCCAGCTGGCGAAGCCAGGTATTCTGACTGTGTATCAAAGTGCTTTGACATTTGGCTTGAGTAAGCGCGCATTGAACACCATCGAATAAAAGTGGTCGCATATTCGTCGAACGTTACTAATAGCAGGTATGGCTTCAGGTGGCAAATCAAATCGACAAACTGGATATTGGGTTTCTACACAGTCTCAGGGAGTTATGGATGCTCGCCGACGTATTCCGGTTATAAGCGAATACAAAGAGGCTCGAAAATAGGGCAAAACTGCGTGCTAGACTGAAGAAAGACCGCAAAGCCTGGTGGTCTTATCGAGCTTCGAAGATGGGAACAGCCGCTACCGTTGGTAATCATCATAAGTTATTCCGTCTGATACTGGAAACAGGTGGCAGGATACCTAGTGTTAGTGAGACCATACATGACGAGAGTGGGCAGCCGATCCACAGCCTGGCAAAACGATTGGAGCGTCGGGCTGAATACTTTGCAAGGCAAGTTAACCAAACTGAGTTATCGCTTTCTTTTTCAGGCATTGAGCGCCCCTCTCCCTGGGCCATTTCCTTGGATCCGTCCTCACGCGCAAACGTCTAACGTGAGATCGGACTGTTGAAATTGTATAAGGCCACAGGGGCAGAAAGAAACCCCCAGCCCTCTTTAAATTCGGAGGACCTACACTAGTACATGATTTATACGGGTTGCTAGCAAAATTTTGGGATCAAGAAACTATCTTGACAGACTGCAGCCCCTCCGTCATTGTCCCAATTTGCAAGAGAGGCTCCTGTTCGGAATGTGCCAATCATAGAGGGACCAGTTTGATCTCAATTGCCTCTAAATTGCTTGCCTCTGTCATTCTCCAAAAACTGACTGGCACTCGTGAAAGCCAGATTCGGGAAGAGCAAGCTGGGTTTCGTCGAGGTCGGAGCTGCATCGATCACATCTTCACCTTGCGCCAAATGTTGTAACAGCGCCAGGTTTATTGGCGACCCACTGTTGTCGTGTTTCTTGACATAAATAGTGCCTTCGACTCAGTCGATCGATGTGCCCTCTGGGACTGTCTCCTAAGGAAAGGTGTGCCTGATAAATGGGTAAGCATTATCAAAGCGCTGTACGCGCATAGTTCGGGCTGAGTGAGGGTTTATGGCAAACTGTCGCCACCCTTCAGTATCACCAGCGGTGTGAGGAAATGTTGCCCGCTGTCACGTTTCCCCTTTAACTTCGCTGTTGACAAAGTCGTGGAAACGGCATTTGATGGACACGACCACCTGGAAGATGTGGAGCGACTTCTTGACTTGGTGTATGTGGACGATATTGCCCGAATCTGTGACAGCTGCCAAACATGCCATGCAGCCCTGGACCGATTAGCACTGGCTGTCAATCGTTTTGGACTATGCTTTGCTCCATCGAAATGTGAAGTACTTCTCCAAGATTGGCAGGGACCCACCCCCGCGCTGACCCTCGGTGGTGATCATGTAGAAGTCGTTCAAGAATTCAAGTACTTTGGCAGCTATATCTGTGATCGAGGGACTGAAGATGATGTTACGAACCATATGGCAAAAGCTCGAGGTGCTTTTGCCAATCTCCGTCACCTGTCGCGCAGACGCGACATTACTCTCGCCCTGAAGGGCAGAGTTTATAACGCAGCCGTCCGTGCAACCCTCCGATATGGTTGTGAATCCTGGACCATCAGATCGACAGACATAAAGAGGCGCGTCACGTTCGATCATCGCTGCCTTCGCAGCTTAGCTCATGTCCGGTGGGAGCACCGTGTGAGCAACGAGCGTGTACGGCTTCTCATATTTGGTGCAGGAAGAGCGAGTGAACCGCTCAGCACCATTATATCACGCACCAGGCTCCGATGGCTGGGCCACGCGTTGCGCATGCCAACACACCAACCCCCGCGATGTGCATTGTTTAGTGCCGGGGATGGGGTTGGAAGAGGAGGAGAGGAGGTCAAGCGATGACTTGGTCGAGTGGAATAAAAACTCTCACTTTGCAGCTGGCCTCGGTTGGTGCATCACGATTGCCTGGCTAAGGTCCTAAGGACGACGAACACGTTTGGTTGGACACACTTGTTACTGTCCGTTCCTCTCCTTTTAGGTTCCCCTCCAATCCCGATCTCATGCAGTACGCATAATATCATATTTAACATTATATTTTTGTAGTGTAATTTTGTAGCCTCTTATCTTTTTGTACTGCGGTACAATTGCTGAGGTGTGTTTCCCACCCGCAGCTGACGTGTACTGATGATGATGGACATTCATTACGTAGAATAACTAACCTCATTTGGTTTCACCCTCAGGCTGACACCAAATAGAGCCGAATAAACGATGGACAATTAGCGTGGACGTAAACGTCAATCTCGTCACAATCCAAAGTGTTAATGAACTGGTGCTTAGAGCTGGTGGTTAATCGTGTGTTTGACAGTCACTCAAACTCCTGATTACGGTCTGCGCGATGAGTGGACACGTTCTTAAGCGTGGACGAAGGCTTGCGTGTGGACAGGTGAGGGAGGTTGAACACAGATCATTCTGTCATTCCGTGGGCGCGGATCTCTGGCCCCACACTGATTAAGGTTATATGCGTACGCGTAAACGCTACAGGCCGGGACAAACCGCAAATATACATACACAAATATACATAGAGAATACACTGTATCCTAAAAAGTAATCCACTAATTTTGGGGTCAGTAGTCCGCGCAAACCAGCCCCGCTGCACGCTGTATTATGGGAACAAACGAGCCACGCGGGAACCATTGGATGGTGGGCCCTCAAATGGTCAACTTATGGAGGTTGAGTTATTATTGACTGGCTAGCCTAAGTGGTTAACGCACAGCTTACACAGGTGGTCAACATACTGAGGTCTGGTTTCATAGAATTTACACAGTGACCGTCCATGGTAAGAAAAATTGGTCAACATAAGGATGTGGTCAACAAATAGAGGTAGCCAACTTTGGAGGTTTTACTGTAGTTGAACCTAGCAACTTCACTGGTTGGACATATAAGTCTAACTAGTCACTAGTTCCTCAACATTCATTAAGTTTTACTTGCTCAAATACCTCGCGCCTAGTAGTGGAAGCGCTGCTGTGTCAATAGTTTGGTGACATAGGTCTTCACAAAATATCTTCAGCCCATCTTATTTCACCACAGTTCACTTCAGTTTCATTTGGCTTTCCACTTACAATTCGAACGGCAGAAGCAAAGGTAGAAAATGCACGGAAACCATCTCTATTTTATCGTGAGCTCTACTTTGACTTACTTCTAGCCAGAACACTTGCTGTGCTGTGGTTTCAGACACTGTTGACTTATCAAGGTGATGAGTATACTTTCTTGGGTGTTCTAACGTTCAAGTCGCCTGAATGCCCTGCCGGACATCAGCCGGCTGCAAGTGATGTGTTTGCATATGTCTGAGAAATTAACTAATTCCTTACCGTTGGTCAACTTTCAGTAACACTCACTGAGACTGTTTCATAAGCCTGACAGAATACTATAAAATTTGTATACTTTACCCCTACGGCTTATTCTATCACGATATACAAATCGTTGATATTTTTACGTTCACACATCTAAGTAATTTTGCCAATGCATTGTTCGCACTGCAGTCCACTGGTAGTTATTACTTGTCCCGCTCACCAGCTTAGGATGCCCCGATGGAATGACTGTAATGAAAAACCGATGCATTTTCGGGGAAACATCTGGTTACTAGCTCGCAGTAATAGCAGTAAATTTTCTCAGCAGTGTAAAGCAGCCCGTTTATACTTACATTTCTGAAAGAACTCCATACATGGTGAACCGAGCAGGTCCACTAGACCGTGCCTTAGGTTGTTTATAAATATCGTACTTGTTTGTTTGCTAGTGCTTACTAACCCGGACCGGAGCAGAGTAACCTCACAGTCACGTATCTAGCTCTCTCCAAGGAAACCGGTCATATCATTTGGATTGAAGGCGGAAACAGTTATTGCAAGCGAGATGTAACGGGGAACGGTAACTGCTTTTCATGTCAATCTAATAACACAGAAATGAAGTTTCTTACATGCTGCGTGGTGTCTAAAGGAAAACAGATCCTTTATATAGAATGAACAGTTAACTTACCCTTTTCCTGCAAAAGTTCTGAAACATAAGACGCACATTGGAATGATGACGCATAGTAATGTACAAACAATATACATTGCTTTGAGGCAAAATGATCGCTTTAGATAAAAGCCTACCGTTGTGTTGGTCCAACAACGAATTGAAGCAAATGGAACTAACATTGCATTGATTATTTCCCTGACCTATACCAATAAGTGCCTACGCAAATGGCTGGTTTTCCTTTATCCTTCAAGTACGCCAGTGCAATCATGGATGGCTCGTATAACGGCTTGATGGCAAACGTCAGTGGGTGAGAAATACGTGATTCATGTGGTAAATATCGTCCGTCGGGCATTTCTATCTCGCGTTCCGAGGGCTGAAGTCCATGTAGCAATCCTAGAAAGATTTCGTTCTTTGAAAATGACGTATGTCTGTTATTCCCTCATTAGCTACCCGAGAATTTTTATTGTTGGTTTTTCTTACGAAGCATTGGTGGCAAACAATATTGCAAGAGTATGATAACCGTATCATGAAAACTGCAATCTATGTTGCCACGCCCAAGTAACGGCCTCGGAATATTATGTTATTGTGGTGTATCCAATTATTATCTTTCACTTTTAGTTTCCTATTTCAGTCCGGTGTTCTTTGATCGGCCCTTTAAATTAAAACGAAACAGCCAAAGAGCACTTGTAATTATAGTTTAAATAACCTAAAGAACACTTTATCATTGGTGACGTAGTGTGGCGAAATAAAATGCTATCCACCACTCTATGGTTTGAAGGTTTACGTATACGTGTCACCCAAAGGACGGAGTGAGCAGAATGAACGATGGATAATATTTCAACTTACGTCCGCATGCGGTATAGTGTAAAGTAAGCAGCACCATCAGTATAAACTTCGGAAGTGGTGCCACCATTTTCATCTTGTACGCCAGCTTTGGGTGTTCAGCAATGGGTAGTGAGTATTATTCGTCAGCATAGGCCTGAAATTGCTGCCCCATTGGTCTTACTTCTCAACACTTAACTCGGCTTCCATTGGTCGCCTTCATCCTAACTACTTAAGCTCCCCTGCATTTTGATTGGCGAAACGGTGCTTGCTGTTTCAGCCACCCACCAACGCGCCCCGCAGCTGTTGCAGGCCACCAAAGCTTATGCTGTCAAGCTTTAGAAGCCCCATGGACTTTCAGCTATGTAGTTACATCTGACCGCCAAGCGTGTAACACATAATACCATAGATTTTCATCAACTAGCCTGCGATGTTTAGATAATTAGTTGCAAAGCTAATAGATGAGGGTAGCTACTTGTTGACAGAGATGAAAGGAAATAGCGCAGTCGTCGGAACGAATAACCACACAGTTAACCTACATTCCACCTGCCAATGGGGAGATGAAAGTTAATTAATGAAGTCACACAATCTCTTGCAGTTAGAAAGTCATTTATCCAAGATACAGCAGTGCATTACGCCTCGGAATCGTGTGTCAGAGTGGAACTTTGACGCATGCAAACGCTGATTGCGTTTGCATAAGTAAAATGCCTAAACTACTGTGGCGCATAACAACATTGTTGCTGATGGGCACCGGTGACCAGGTAAACCCAGATGAGTCCGTTGCAGTCCTCAAATTCGCAAGCTCCTCGAAGTCATTTTTATCGATCAACAACGCCCCCCACTTCGTGTTTAAAAACAGCTGACGGTGGCATTAAGCCTACCGATGTGGCGAGTAATCCACTAACCATAAAACGGTTGATCAACAATCTATTTTATGTGATCTTTTTGTGGTTTCTTTGTTAAATGTGTGTGTGACCGATGAGAATGCGCGAAAGGACAGTGTCTTGTCACAACCTTCGTCTTCTGATGTTCTTATTTGGAATTATAAAGGGGTTTTATGTTTCAGGTTACGAAGTAATTTGCACCTCGCACTGTAGTCATATAAAAGTTTCAAGCCGCTGCTCAGCTGTTTTCCAATAACTCACAATGGGTTATCTTTCGATCTAGCCTCGAATCGCCTGTCACCGGCCAACCCCCGTGAGTCCAACCAACAGTTGGAGGATCAACGTTTGTGATCCTCAACGTCTCCAGTACGTATCATTACCTGACCTCACAGAGTAAGAAAAGTAACCAACAACACGGATAACCCTTGTACTAGTATTAATTCTAAGCAAACGGGACTATCGCTTGATTAGGGAAATAAAAGACTGCTATTCCTAACGCCATTTAACATAGTTTGAAATTTTCCGAATGTTTTACACCGGTTGGTTTACGCCGGTGAAGTCACTAAGGAATACGTAGTAAAGCAATCTAAGGTAAACCAATAGGGAATGACGGTAAGTGGGAAGTTGGTAGAAATCTTGTCTCCTCCTGATAAAAACTGTCGAAGGAAATCAGGGATTTGGCCGCTAGTGAAATCTCCTAGAACCAGTTATACTTATCCATGGGTAATGAGTCGTGTGATATAATGCAGCGAAATGAGTGCACGAGCAACTCGGGCTTTGAAGTCTGCCAGCGTGGGAGCACATATAACAGATTCTAGGGTGGCATTCCACATTCTGCAAATATGAAAGGAAAAGAATTGCCGACGGCATGCAAAACGAATGTACTCCTCTGCCAGCCTGAGATGGTAGCCTCTCAAATCACTATTGTGGCTGTGCTCTATCAGGTAGCGGCGCGTGTGGTTGGGATCTCTCAAAATCTGGTAAGTCAAAGAGAGCTCCTCGTGCGATCGTCGATACTGTCCGCTGAAGACCCCGAGAACTTGTAGCCCTTATTCATACGGGAAAGTATACAGACCCTTGATGTTTTTAGTTGCCCGATGTTGGGGTATCTCCAAGGCGATGAGATCTTTCTTCAGCCATGGCTACCAGACCTGTATTGCGTATGCCACATGTGGACATGTGTATGAGTCAAGAAGCTGTGAAAATATCGCAGGGTCGAATCGTCCGAATTCACACTTCAGGAAGCCCGCATGTTGGATGCCCCTTCTTAATGCCGTTTCAGCCTGACTCGAACATTTAATGTTTACCTGGACCAAAAATCCAAGATCTTTTTCGTCAGAATACGTTTGAATATCCTGGTTGTCGGGTTTATAGGACTACACCAACTTCTGCCGTAAGTGCAGTACTCTACATTTGTTCAAATTGATTCGAAGTAACTTCTGGATTGACCACACTTATACCATAGCCAGATCGGTCGTGGCGTTGTGATTTCATCCGGTGTATTGATCGCCCTCCACACCTTGATGTCCTCCATATAAAGCAGGCAGTCTGTGCTCATGAGGCGTGTCATATCGTTAATATGGTCAAATATAACAGCAGGCATACTACCGATCCCTGTGGCACTCCGCATTCAATTTGGATGGGATCTGACAGCGATTCCCACACTCGTACTTCCAAGCGCCGGTGTGGAAGAAAGCTTCTGATCCATCCTAGGAGAGTCTCATCAATATCAAAGATCCAGAGTTTGAAGAGCAGAATGTCATGGCCTAACCGATCGACGTATTTGAGAAGTCGAGAAAGATTACAGCGACTCCTGTGCCGGAGCCCACTGCTTCAATCCAGATGCATCGTGCTAGTAGTAGGTTTGTAGTACATGATCGATTCTGTCGGAAGCCATGCTGTTCCGGTGCGAGGTAGTTAAATTCTTCCAAGCAAACCGCTTGCGAATCAGAAAGAATTGCTTCCATGACCTCTGAACGAAACTGTAGAAAGATTATAGGACAGTAGTTGGCTGGATTGAAACGACTAGCCCCCTTGTGAATAGGAGTAATCATCACGTGTTTCCACAGTTCGGGAGCGTACATTTTATCAAAAATGAGTTGAAAGAATTGAACCCAAGGCTAAGCTAAACTTTATCCTACAGCCGCTAGCTATTTCATATGTATATTTTCAACTCCAGGAGAGCTATGCTTGCGTGTACTCAATAGTTTTTTTAGTACAGCTTCTGCCGTGAAGGATATGTGAGTGAGCTTTGGAGTGAAACAACCATTGTCATAGGGTTAAGTGACCCTCGATCGCACGGAAATGTTGCAACATTTCGAAGGCACAAGATATTTGCCGCCATCTTCGGTGTCCGTGTGGGTTCGTCTGCTGTTTGAAGGGTAGGAATTCCCCGTTTTACCTGATGTTGACTGTTGACGTGTTGATGCAGAAGCTTGTGATTAGAGGTCATACGCACTGCCAACTTCTGCTGGTACACCATTTTATCCTCGCGAGCAAGCTGAGTACAATGGTTACGTTGAGTTGCATAGACTGTCAGGGTCTAGTTGCTCGGAGATGGTTTGTAGAGATGTCAGATTGCGTTTTGCACCACTATACACTTGCGTGTCCTGCTTCGCAGCAAGGAGAACACCCTTTTTTGGAAGAACCTCTTAGTCGCTGATGCTTCGGAAACCAGAGAGTTAAACTGGCTGACGAAATGTTCCCATGCAACAGCCGTGGCTTCATCTGCCAGAAAAGTCCAGTTAGCTTCCATCTAGTCGAGCTAATATGTCGTAGTATATAATCGTTTTTGTTGCATCGGTAATTTCCACTGGATATGCTGCATAACAAATGAATTCAACGAGAAGAAATAAAGGATGGCTGTGGCCCAAGGGGGACGTCAACGATTACGCTCCAGACCATTAGTTCTTCGTTGGTGAATATCCGGTCTAGTATTGACGGCTTATCTTGTTCTCGGAATACGGTGAGAGTGCTGATGTGGTCATACAGCGGGAAATTGGAGACAAACTCTTGCAGATCGACCTCAAACTGTTCTCCAGGAGCGGCTTGGGTTTCCAGAGCGTGGATGTAGAAATCTCCAGTAATGGGAATGCGACTAAGCTGTGTTTATCATCCGCATCTATGCGAATGCCAGAAGGAAGTTTATCTCGGGCGTGGAGGAAGGAGGGCGATAAATGACCGCCAACAAGCAGGTGGCGTCGCCTTTTAAAGGTAGATGGCATCCAAGAGATCCATGTGCCTTGCTGACCGGGTCTTCTATTGGCTCAGATTGTAGGTCAATGCGAAATTAAAAAGCCACCTTCCCCCCTTTCGGGGTCGATCGTGCCGAACAATGGACATGTCTGGCAGTACGATCTTCAAGCCACTTATGTCAGCGCGTAACCATGAATCCGTTATAGAGATGAAACTTTTGACCTTTGATGGCGAGGAACTCGAGTAGTTGCTCAATTTACTTACGTTGGCAGCTGCGTCAGCAATGGTGGGCACATAGCAAGTGAAGTTACTTTAAGTATTGCAAAGATAGAATTCATAAATAATCCCCATTTGAGTCAGAAGTAAGCAAGTGCGCGAAGAATATTCTATTCGATAATTCTCATCAGGCGAGTACAATTATGAAGCAAAACGTTTGGGGAGAATAAAGCCCGTACAGGCCTGTACAGAGAGCAATCAACTCATTAACTGGCAATTTGAAAACTAAATCAATGATTTGATCAATCGGATTGTCGCGTTAGGAAGCAGGTGATCAAGGAAGGTCAAGCTCAAGGCCAAGGCAATTTCAGAGCCTGTAGCAGTGTGAGCTGTATGCACAGCTCTGGTTTTAGAACTTTGAGAGCAATGGCTTCAGAAATGCTCAATAAATGTTTCTTCAGCTGTTTTGGGTATCGTTTAGGGATAGTATAAACGACTCGAAACGACTGGTTTATCTGGACTTGGTGTCCAGTGTCGACCAAGTGTTGTAATACAGAACTGTTGATGGATTTTACCGTGTCTTTTCGTAGTGACGCAGGACAATGCTCAGCGATTCTTTTGGACAAACACCTGGTCGTATGTCCAAGATACCTAGCACCACAGGTGCAGCTGAACTGGTATAAGACAAACGATTCGGACCGAACCGGGAGTTTATCCTTTAAGCGCTGAAGAATCAATGGTCTTGTTTCGGCAAGTAGTTTTAGGT